CCCCAAAACCCCAAAACCCCAAAACCCCATATGCTAATTAAATCAAGAAATAATTGAATATTAAAACATGATATAGCTAAATTTTCATCTCTATATCATATTATTGTGCTCATATATTTAAGTTTTATTTTTCTTGGCTACTCTTGATTATGGATCTTAAATTGATATCCCCTGCGAGTTATTTGTGCTCGACCCATATGATTCGCTTTTCACGCTTTCAACTTTAAGCGATTCAATTGATTATCTCAAAAGTATAGAGTCCTTATTTTTCTATTTTCTTTATAATCTAGCATCTTTGCTTAAATCGTTCGAGCCAGTAAATGATGCTTCACCATTAAATATATTTGCCATTGTATTATTGGTCAAATTAAAGGAAGTATTATTCGCTTTGGTATAAGTCTCATCATCGAAATCTATCCCGTCTTGCTCTTATTTGTCCTCTTCATAAGTATCTAAATTGCTTTAATTTTTTATCTTTTAAATTTGTAACTCCAACTCCTGCTAACTTAGAGCATATGATACTTTATTTTACTATAGCTATTGCATACAGATATCATAGTTATCTTCTACAGATCTAAGGTTTTCCTTCTCATTATTAATAGTCATTTGCTGCTATTCTCTATCTCTTTTCTATCTCATTTTAAGCTTTTCAAGCTATTTTAATCTTAACTCTTCCTCATAAAGTTTTTTTAACTTTGATTCTTGACTGAAAAATACTCTGTATATCTATACCATTCCAAGGACAAACATGAATCCAAATATTGAAGAAAGAGTATAAGATAGGACTTTCCTCGAATAACTATTGAATACTCCAGATTCATCCGTGGAGGACGAGGATACACTGGTTGATAGCGAGGTACTGTTAGATCCACTTACTATATCTAGGGAGTCTGTTAGGAAATAATCAAATTTTACATAACTACCTTTGGTTTCAGGAATAACTATGATGTATGCATAATTTGTCAGGTTTGTAACAATAAGACTTTCAATTTCAACTAAATTTCCTGCATCAGTTCCCAAAATTGGGTTTGTAATCACATTCCATTCTTTATTTATGATATTCAAAAGCTACTTAGAATCAGGCTTGCTTGAAATTGCTGCATAAATTTTAATTTTCTTATTTTCAGTAACTCTAATTTACATCAATCAATTTTGATATTCTTTCTGACTTACTGGGACAAATCTCCACATACAAGTTTGCATATTATCAAAGTAGTTACTTTGGAAACTCTAAATATAGTTTTAGACAAATATATCTCAACTTTGCCCACACAGTTCTCAATGATAGGCACATGTAGCATACTTGAAGTATGTCAAGTTTTTTTATTCAAAAGAATTGCTACAAATCATCTGATTTGGGTTCCAATTAGTTTGTGAATTCATAAATCCTGATTTATCACAGCAATATCCTATACTCTCACTCTCATCTCTGGAGTTGTAAACATTACTTAAGCTAGATGTGCAATAATACTTTAAGACCTTGTTATCTAAGCAAGCTCAGCATTCTTCTAAAGTAGTTACCTTTTTAGTATCAGCTCTTACTCTCATAACAATTATTAATGCATTAAACACTGAAAGAATGACTAATTTTGCCATTGTTTAAGTTATATGATTAATTATAATCTACTTTATAAATTATTAAATTTCAATAAGTGGGTCATTATTTCATTTATATTCAATTTCTTGGATAGACTCATATCCGTAATCCTGCGAAACCTACTCCTCCTCATCATTTTTATCTAACCCGAGAATTCGTTTTTAGTAAAATACATTTTGAAGCTCCTTATCATCCTCTTGAGCTCCTGTAGGGACGTGCTGCTTATTATTTTCTTCCTCTTCTTCGTCATCTACTTCCTATATAGTTTTTTAGCGTTTAGAATTTCGATTCTATCCTTAAATATATTTCCTATCACTGTTATAGTTTTAACTCGTTTCTTCATTTTCATCAGCCACAAGTTTATTCACAGAAGGAGCTATCAGTCGTTTCTTAGTGCTTTAGTCAATATCTTCATTCAGATAAATATTGTTTTAATTGGGAGAATTATCTTATAAGCCTTCTTCATCATTTTCTTCGATGTAACCCAATTGTTGATTCTTTTTGAAAATTTGCACATCACTGTTGACCATATTTACTCTTTGATTTTAGTCAAAAGCACTTTCACTAAAACTACCGACTATGAAATTGTTTTGATTAATGTCAACCTATTGGAAATCAGATTGGCCATCAGCTTTATCTTCAACAAAATCATCTTCCTTTAGAATTTCTTCCTAGAAATGATTTGAAGGCCTCTTATTTTTAAATTAGTATTGGAAACTACCCTTAAAAGCTCCTCCGATATCATTTTAGCTTTAGGCATTGTTAGAAGATCCACCAATGTCAATACTTTTCTATGAAGATTTACCTGTAGACATATTCTTTTGCTACTCATTTAATGATACTGAAGAATGAGTAGATGTTCTCTAAATTTTACTAGAAGCAGTGCCAGGCCTTGTATTATTTTTTTAAATCTATATTTCTTCAACATTGTCATCATATAGCTTTTTCAACTGCCGGCCTTGGGGATTCCTTAGCCTGCTCTTTGGGTCTTATACATCTCCAAATCTCACCCCTTTTTGCTGTGTTTTTTATTTTATTATAACAACTTTGCCAGGAAGGACTTTTACCACATCTTTATTCTCCACTAAACCATCTATTCCATTATCTAATTTTTCTATGTCATTTTCTACTAAATCTGGAACATTAATTTAAAAGTTATCCCCATTACGGTTAATCTATGATTGCTATCTAGTATTGGTAAGTTTCTTTTTAAGCTACTTGTTCCTTTAGTATGGTCCATCATCATCATCATCTACATCCTAATCCTAATCTTTTTGTTCAACAAGTTACTCCTCTTTTCTCTTTTTTATTACTTTCATTACCATCCAAACGATAGCTCCAACACAAAATCCTGTTATTAATCCTCCCACTACTACTGCTATAATTATAACTACAACAGGTGCTTCTTAATCATAACTACTCTCTGTCCCATTCCAAGAGTCAAAAAGTGATAATTAAAGAGTTGCATAAGATTTTGAAGAAATTATTGTTGTATTTTTAAATACTACTACATACATCATCATCTAATTTGCTAGTCTGAAGCCATCTTAAAGATAGTCATTTGTTTGATTAATTTAAAATGTACCAACAATGTTAGACCACGGGCTGTTCTGATCATTTGAATACCATACATAGGCTTGATAATCTGGAGTGTTATTTGTTAGTTTCACTTGTAGATCAAGGGTTTGATAATCCTATTTAGATAGTGAATTATTGAAAAAGCAATAATCAGGTTTTTCATTGTCCATATGATTTGATCGAAAGAAGCCTATGCTTGGTATGATAAGTTGATTCAAAGAGCATTTATTTGGAAAAGTTTGATTACACCTGAATAAATTGAGGTATTAATCATAACTAGATTTTCGAGGATGAGTTTAAACATAACCACTTTAAATTGCGTTTGTTGATGCGACATATTGTGTGATACAATCAATTCTTTTACAAAGTGTACTCATGTCTGTGTTATTGCAACATTTCGTAGAATTTCCATCACTGCAATACCTTGATCCGCCTGCTAAACACTAATAGCAAGTATTTTCTGCAAGTAAAAGATTCTATTCAGTGCTAGAACCTATCAAAAATACAAGTATTATCCCTATAAAACAATATCTTAAATACTGCTTTTGCTAAAAATTGTCTTATTTCAATTCATTGCGAAGGTTCATTAAAATTTAAGCCATCAAGATTAAATAATTTTTTGATAATTATAATTTAATTTTTCATTATTCTAATCTGTGTATTTTAAAATGTTATGTTAGATGGGGTTTTGGGGTTTTGGGG